GCATTGAAATTGATTGTCATTTGGTAAGGGAGAAGGTTCTCAAAGGTGATGTTAAGACTCTCCATGTTAGCACACAAAGTCAATTGGCAGATATATTGACAAAGCCTCTTTTTCCTGCACAATTTAGTGTTCTCCTTTCCAAGATGGGAATTTCAAATATTTATTCTCCATCTTGAAGGGGAGTATTAGGAATATAAGTTTTTTATTGTATTTTTATTTCTTAGCTTCTAGAATGTAGTAGCTGTAGCTGACGTGTATAGTGCTGTGCACCATTCTGTTAGAGTTGCTGATTCATTCATTCTGTTAGGATTTCTTAGCTGAGTTTGTTATTTTAAGCTTCTAGAATTTTTTCATTCGTTGTATAAAATAGGTGCTTTGTATACTGTTCAGATTATCAATGAATATACAAATATTCTTCCAATCTTTCTTCTCTGCAATTTATTCATTGTAATATGATCAATATGCGGCCTCCTCCACTGAGATGCAACTCCAAGAGATCAACATTCTATGTGTCTGCAGTGAAACATAGCGACAACAACATTGATAATGGCCTTATACTACTTGCTGCCACTCCTCCCTTTCCCTTAGTTACATACTATCGAGCATTTCAATGAAGCTGGTGAACGCTTGTAACTTATGTATATTAGGTGCTTGAGTTTCGTTTCAGAGAATGAGTCAAAGAGATGCTTGAGTTGGCTCACTGGGTGGAGTAGCATAGCTCGTTGGTTATGAGCTAGCTGTCACTTCCTTTATAATGCATACTGATCTGGATAAAATATGATAGGCCCATCAAAGGCCAAAATCCATAAGAGCAAGGCCCAAACCCACAAGGTCCAGATTGGGGCGCGATGTCTCCTATCGCGCATCAGAGGGCGCGATGTTATCATCGCGCCTGAACCAACTTTCGACATAATTTCAGAGATAAAGAAGCAGTCACAGGAATTAATAAAGATCCACCGCGCCACTGAACAAATAAACAGAAGACAGCACCAGCTTGCCACCACTCTACCAAGATAGCATGACATAATGAGATAAGGTTATGGAAGCACTAGCCATATTGATGGACTTAAGCAGGTATTTGCTGATTGCATTGCATATATATATATATATATATATATATATATATATATTTATGAGAAATTTGTGCTGTTTTTCTTTTACTGTATATTTTGATAGGGTTGTTCTTCTCATTGTAGGTAGATTTGTTAACAGATGGCAACTTCAACCATAATGTTTAACATATCCCTGGAAAAGATATTTAAAACAGCAACTGAGAAGTTTGAAGGTGACATCATGTGACTAAATAATTGTGATATTTTAACTTTAAAGTATGTAGTACCATTGCCAAAATAAAATATCCTTTGAACAAAGTTGATTATAGAGACAATGGAGAGAGTGGGAAACTTAGTGATTATACAGACGCATACAAGGTTTCTGCACAGTGGAAAGACCGAAAAAAAAGGATAGAATAAATTAGTTTTGAACCGAGGTTATATGGTTTGAAGAGAAATGAGTTACATTTTATAAACTCCAGAAAACCAAGATACCTCACAAAATCTGTAAATAAGGCTTGTAGGGTATTTTTCATGCTGATCTTTCAATATTATTTTTCTTCCAGTTTCTTTTTGTGTACGTGCATGTGTGTATTTGGTGGAGTTAAAAAACGAAGGTAGATATAAATTTGTGTTTCATTCTAGCTTCAGGTGTTGGTGCTAAGATTCCCAAAAGTTACTTATTCTTAGATCACATTCCATTGGTATCATCTGATATAAATCAAGGTTTGCAATTTAGAGGATATAATGGCAATAGGCCAAGTGTACAGGTGATTAAGTTTATAATTCTTTCCCATTACTGAACAATTGAATTCACACAAAGATGGTGTATATGAGAGGAAGATGGGGCTCATTGCTTGAGCAGTGAGGAAGTCATATGAGTTTATTCGTACAGGGGTTGACAAAAAAAATTTATTTATTGTAATTTAATTAAATAATTACATATTTATTACAGTTTTGGAAATAATTACGGATCTATTGCACGATGTGACACTTTTTTTGGGCGTCACATGTGACGCCTCATTTAGGCGTCTCTCACCAAGGGAAGACGCCCCAATGGGGCGTCTCTCATGAGGTGTTGACACGTGTCATTTCTCTTTCCAAAAAAAATAATAATTTAATCATAAAACTTCTGAAGGCCATAACTTTTGACTCGGGTATCCAATTCAGGTAATTCTTTTTTTGATTCCACATAACTTTTCGAGATCTACGCAATGACATCTCATTTGATATATTTTATTTCTCACAAACATAATTTAAATTTGCAAAAATGGTATTATAAGAGCGTTTAAATCCACAGGCTTCTGAGTACTAGATTTGTGATTTAATATAAAAAAAATAATCCAATTCAGGTAATTCTTTTTTTGATTCCACATAACTTTTCGAGATCTACGCAATGACATCTCATTTGATATATTTTATTTCTCACAAACAAAATTTAAATTTGAAAGAATGGTATTATAAGAGCGTTTAAATCCACAAGCTTCTAAGTACTAGATTTGTGATTTAATATAAAAAATAATAATCCAATTCAGGTAATTCTTTTTTTGATTCCACATAACTTTTCGAGATCTACGCAATGACATCTCATTTGATATATTTTATTTCTCACAAACATAATTTAAATTTGCAAGAATGGTATTATAAGAGCGTTTAAATCCACAAGCATCTGAGTACTAAATTTGTGATTTAATATAAAAAAATAAAGATTTAGTTTGTGATTTAAATTTAAAAAAAAATCACATTTTTTAATTTTTAATATAAAAAATAAATAAAGTTTTGGTTTGTGATTTAAACTTAAAAAAATCTAAAAAATTATCATTAATAAGGAAAACAAAATAAAGATTTGATTTGTGACTTAAACTCAAAAATCAATTTGAAAAATCTGTATAATAAAAAAATAATTAAATAAATATTATAAATCTCTAAGTAAGAAGGATTTTATTTTTGAAAACCATTCAGAAGCTATAATTTAAATGGCTTTAAAGAAAAAAGTCATAAAACAGAAGGATGTAACTTATGATACCGTATGATTCAAGATACGAAAAATCAACCAAACGATACACAATACGAATTTCGGTTCAATAACATTGTACACTATTTTTTTCAAACACTTGGTTTTGGTGTGTTTGGTGTTGATTCAGAAAGAACTAAGAGACTTTTAGGTTTAAACGCTCGTATAGTACCATTCTTGCAAATTTAAATTATGTTTGTGAGAAATAAAATATATCAAATGAGATGTCATTACGTAGAACTCGAAAAGTTATGTGGAATCAAAAAAAGAATTACCTGAATTGGATACCCGAGTCAAAAGTTATGGCCTTCAGAAGTTTTATGATTAAATTATTATTTTTTTTTAGAGAGAAATGACACGTGTCAATACCTCATGAGGGACGCCCCATTGGGGCGTCTTCCCTTGGTGAGAGACGCCTAAATGAGGCGTCACATGTGACGCCCAAAAAAAGCGTCACATTGTGCAATAGATATGTAAATACTCCACAAACTACAATAAATATGTAATTATTTAATTAAATTGCAATAAATAAATTTTTTTGCCTACGGGGTTTCCTTTAATGACATTGGCAATTTTTGAATATTACGTTTTGTCAATGTTAAGCAGTTTGGACGTGAGGGGAAGCTTTTTTGTGGGAAAGTTGCCTGCATGGTTATTTGAGACAGCAACAGAAATCTAGAAACTTTGCAATTAATTATCGAGTAACCCAGAGTTTGAATTTAATTAAATCTCTTCCTCAAGTAGAAGAAAGGAAAACTAATTTTTTCTGGTCCCATGCACAGTTCAACACACAGCAATGGATGTATAAGCTATTCACGAGCAATGGCTTTTTGATGGAAATTGATTAATTGAGAAGGAGTTGCTGAGAGTTCAGAGGATGAATTTGCTTCAGGACATTGTAATAATGGTTTGTTGAGACATCTTGTAGTCACATTGACGTGGCAGTTACCCTACTTGACTCTTGGTTGAGATGCATCCAAACTACCTTTTGTTCAGCCACATGCCTTTTCTTTCTTTTTCTTTTTTTCTTTTGGAAATCATTAAAGTTTAACTGAGGTTAGACACTAGTATCTTATTAGGGTAAGGGAAAATCACCTAACCTCTTTTGAGAATTTCTCTTAGAAATTATATATCACTCACCAACAAAGTTTGAACCCATGCCTTTATGAGATATGGACCAAACCTTTAGTCGACCGTGCCGTTTTTTCTTTCTTTTAATCTCTTTTTTCCTTTGCATTTTCTTTTTGAGATATTGTTTGGCATAAAAAACAGGAATAAGCAAACATTAAACTAAAGAGAGCTCCACTCGCTGAATCCCTAAAAAATAAAAATAAAAACCACAAAACATGTCTTCTTCACAATTCCTCCTTGATAATCACTAAAATTTTCCCTCCCTATGGTTCTCTTCTTGGTTTTTGTATCAATATCTGTAATTTTGCGATTTTGGAAAAAAAGAAAGAAAAGACATCGATAAATATTTACTAAGAAAATCTGGTTTTGCTGTATAACATCAATTTTTATCTGGTATGCTAGTTACATTTGTATGTAGCTCAAGCGATTCTTGGCATACTCTGGCAGAGAGAAGAAGAGAATTTCGGAGGGTAGACTATAAAGGGTATGAAAAAGGCTTTGAAGAGTTACAGAAGTATAACCTTCACCACAGGCTGACTAGCCTTCAAAGGGAAGAACTTTCTGCTGCTTCAGGGTCCTAAATTTCAGATCATTTGGATTTATTTCTGCAGTGTCATGTCATAGTGAATGCTCAATTTTCCTAAAAAGATTAGTTAATGCAAACCTTTGATGCCTTTAATATTGTTTTGTCCTCTGTACAATTGATGGTACCAGCGTTAAACATTGAAGGAATGCCTTCAAGTTCTAAATTTAAAAACAATATATTTTAGCCGAACAGAGTCAAATTATAAAATGTGTTCCAAAAACAATCAATCTAACCACTTTAAGTATCGTAAATCGTAATATTGAAAACCAATTACACTATACACACCGATCACTGCTCACATATAGAAAAGGCAACAAATTGGGAAAGACAGCAACAGCCATCCACCAGCCACCTAAGAAGCACAAGCATGAACCACCTTCCAAAACTGACCAGTGTTTAAAATAAAATAAATCAACTAGGATTAAGAACCACATTCTCAAATAGCAATTAGTGCCTAGTGGAATGTGAAGCTGATATTCTCCAAGGACAGTTCAGTTACAGGATGGTCAAACAGCAAAGGCCATTAGATAGCAACTTGATTGTCAACTCAACAGTAAAACTCAGTCCTCCAAACAAGACAAGATGGGGAGGGGGAGTTTTACTCAACCGAAGGTCACATGCCAAACACCCCTTGAAGTGTGAAGCATTGAATTTGTGGTGGAATGATATTACTGTTGATTCAAGACAGGAACTGTAGGGCGTGGCCTCACAACATTCAGCACCCCTCTTGCAGTTGCCTGTTTAAGGGATAAAAGAACACACTCAGAAACAAAGTTCTAAACAGTAAGACAAAGTATCTATCTGATCGTTTTACCTCAAAGAAGGAATTCAGATTTAACCGCAGGAGAAAACGTCTCAAAAATGGAGCCCGTTGACTTCCAGCAAGCCTGCTGCTGCGCAGTATAGTGTACAACGAATTTGATTTCTTGTTGAATTCCTATCGAAGTTAAGTTAGAGAAAACACAAAAATGATAAATAACCAGTCAAAAAGATAAATTTAAGTAAGGAATGGAGATCTAATCTAAAGAAATATGTGTGTGTGTGTATTGCATTAAAGTACAAATCTGCCTCTGCAATTTAGCCTCGGTTTGTCTTAAGGAAACAATCATATTAGGAGGCTTCAATTTGTGTCGGTACATCTAAAATGAAGAAAGTTCAAATTTTGACGGTACACATTTGACAATAGAATGACATAAACAGTAATTTTTCTTTTCTTGTTCATTCAGTTAAGTGAGGCAGAACTTCAGATATTTGAAGGGAAATAGAAGGGTTCAAGTGTGTATTTTCATATAAATTTCCACCCGCTTCATTTAAAAAAGGTGGAAGGTGGGAAACAGAACTATAAGGAAGCAACTTTACAGTACTTTTTCTGACTACCCCCGATAAAATTCAAGAGTTGATTATTGATATTGTTTAAAAGTCAATTCAGCAGTTCCTCAAAGCCAATTCAGTCTGTCTGGTAGATTTGGAAGAGGTACAACTACAGATTTCCCAGATTTATCATCATACCCTCATCATTGATTAAAACCACTTTCCATTAAACACTGACTAACGAGAGTAGAGATGAGGGCAATCCTTATACGTAGCCTTACCCTTGCATATTTGCAAAGAGGCTATTTTCCAAATTTAAACCTGTGACCTTTCGGTCATAAAGAAGCAACTTTACCATTACTCCAGCTCACCCTCTTACCCTCATCATTGATTATTAAGTCCTAATGAATTATATGAAGAATGCAGAGCCTTATTTAGCCATTCACAATATATCAGTGTGAATAAGGCACTAAGACATGATCTGGAATCAATATGATGAACTTAAAATTAGTTTACTAATTTTTCTCTTACTTGAAAATGCTCAGATAATTGAGCCCAGTGAGATTAATATTATATAAAGCTGTATGAGGAAAATAATGGCTTTAAGCGAGATGTTTATTCAGGTATGGTTTGGCAAAACCAGCAATGCATCATCACCTCAGCTATATGTTCCAGTTCAGAAGTATTTGAACAGTTATCTTGGTTCTCGATATTCCAGCAAAATTGCAGGCAAAGTTTCATGATGCTATCCAGTATCCTCGACACAGAACCAATGTCCAAGAAAGTTTGTGAAATCAAGGCAGACAGATACCTGCAGGAGACATTAAAATATATAGTAAAGATGCAGTAATAAGCAATATTTAGGTAAAACAGGCACCACAAGGAATTAAAGTAAACCTTAACAAGCTCATAATTCATAAAGCCATAACAGTTTAAAAACTCTAGCACCCGAGAATTGATTAAAGAAAGAATAAAGTGCATATTAACTATGTTCCGATTTCTCCTCATTAAACTGCTTGTTCATAGCAAAGGGTGCTTTTTTTTTTTTTTGGAGGTATGTCACTATCTCTGTTCAATAACAGCCAACTAAAACAGTAAGTTATCTTTGATCATTAAACCGCAATAAGATCCTTAGTCCTGACAGGTGACAGCAATAGGATAAAAGTTGGCCTGCTGATTTGATGGTCCCCAAGAAGTTATATTTAGTTCGGATAAATAAGATTGTGTTGGTAATAATTTCATGCATGTGAAGTAGCTTAGCAAACAATACAATATTTGTCACTATAAATGTATAAAAAACAAAAACATGCAATATAGAAATTATTACTCTTGATGGAAGCCCACAAGTTCTGTAAAGTCATGAGAATCTTGAATATGAGATTGTAAAATATTCCATTGAGACTCTATCACATCCACCTGCAAAGGAAAGCACAAAATTTTGAATGTGAAACAAACAATAGATTCGTTATAAAAAGATACAGTACACGCCAAATATTTGTCATTACGATACCATCAATGTGCTTCTTGGGCTCAATTCAACACAAATCAAAGAAAATGTGAATCACCCAGACTAGTAAATAGATATATTTGTTATGGCTCAATTGATTTGTTAATAATAATAATTTGCATTTATATTCAAATCACCCAGACTATACCACAGCAACAGAAAAGCATAGAAATGTGATATGACATCAACTCTCGTATCTATCTTGCATCATATGAGTGAAAATATTATCTCCAGAGGGGAAAGGAACACAAATTGAATATGGTCAGTTGGTCAAAACTCATTCCAATTCTCACTCATATAAAGCATGCCTTGTATATATGTGAGAGTGCGTGCAGTGGTGGATCTTCTAACAAGACAAAAAAATGGTTCCTCTACTGTCAGCCATGACAGCACAAAACTTTTAACCATGGTGACAAGCCCCTAAGTTCCAGACATGCCCATCCCCCAAACATCGCTCTCAGGTTGCACCACTGAGTGCATGTGAATCCAAAAAAACATATCAGCAATGAGCTAGTGTATAGATATAGATCACACAACTACTAGTAATAAAATAAATTTAACAGAAATGACAATATGTGAATGACAACCTGAATGTAAAATTGGAGATTTCTGATCAAGAATGCCATGTGTTCTCTAACATGCCACATTGGTCGGAACCTCTGATGTCTCTGCTGTGTTATTGAGCACTTGTCTCGATCATTTTGGTGTTTGGCAAAATCACTGTGATATTGGTGCATTACAGATGCCCATAATTTCTCCAACTCCATTTGCGTTCGTTTCAGCCGCAGTAAGTATTGGAATACTCTGAGGTACCTGTTAAAAGTTGTTAATGGTACAGAAAAGCTAATGATCTAGCAAAAATATATTAACTTTATTTAAACATATAATGTTGGAGAATTGTTTTATTATGAAGGTGAGAGGATAAATCCTGATTATTAAATCGTGCATGAATGTTCATAATTAAAGCACAAAGTCATGTGACTTTTTTAAGAGCTCTTTCAATGCCAGCTAAGATCAAATGGTCACAATTTGTTCACAATAAAAGTATACCAGTCACCAGTGCTCTCACAAGATCTATCCCCTATAAATATATATCACCTAAACCAATGGTACCTTATGGTAATGTAACATCTCTACAGCATGCACACTTGGTTTGCATTAAGAGGCCATTACACTTTCTAAGTAAAGTTTTATCACATCAACAGGGTTTCCAATTAGATCCAGTAATATTTTAATCAGATAGTAAGAGAAAAAGAATCCACCTTGGAAGCAGGATACAGGAGTAGAATCTTACTTAGAGAGGACTTCTTGGGTAAAGAACAAATGCAAAGGCCAATCAACAGAATACTCAAGAGCTATACCATCCCAACCATCAAGTGACATTTCTGAAGAAGCATTTGAAAGCGAAGCACCAGAGCTACCATCTGCGGAAGAGGTTGCCTTTGGTAAATCTAATTGGGAAGATTTAACTGCAATTCCAAAAGATGGCATCCTAGAAGAGGGAAAGGACATTTTAGAGCATATAATTCATAACAGTTCAATATGAAGCAAGCAAAAGTAGAAGGAACAATAATGAATGTGGATCCTAACCGCAAGGACACCTTAGAGAAATATTTGTCTTCTTCACCGATAGTTTTTAATGCAGCCTGCATAACAAAGAAATTGCAACTAAATTTGTTAATGCATCTAAAACATGAACATGCTTACGTAACTAATGTGTGAACGTAATTAAGCCATAAAATCATAAGCTAAACAAACCAGTTGAAATGGAACCATAAGATCAGCTTCAGCAGTTGACTGGCGTGGTGGCAATCGCATTAACTGACGACTTTCCTCAAGGAAGCACTTAACACAAAAAAAATCATTAGTAATTAAAAAATGTCAGTATAACTCCATCGAAATTACAAGAAACACTGAAGTTTGATCCTCAGTGAGTAATCGATGCACATCCAAGGCACCGAATATAGAGGAAGAACTATCCAATATTTATTTTGTAGTTTAAAGTTTAAACTAATTGGCAACATCTCCGTAACTAAATCATTTACTAGTTCAGAAATCAAGTCAATTTGCGGATTCCAAAGAATATTCTTTTGCAATTCATTCCAAGTGAGATAATTCCAAAATAAATAACAACAAAGATGATAGACATTTAGGGATAAAGGGGGGAAACACATATCTACCACAATTTATGATCAATTACAAATTACTCAAACTACTATGAAAATAATTAGTAAACCAAACAACTTAGACGTACTAAGTACTGATTGATTAAAATTTAAAAGCATTTTATGGGTACAGTATGATCGATTAAAAGTATTGCCATATGATATGGCAATAGACATTGTTGAGATATATAAACCATTAATGTAGCCTCTCACCCAACAGCTTAAGCTTTTGGGTTGAATTGGTTCTTTACATGGTATCAAAGCCTCGTGTCCCGGGTTTGATCCTCGCCGCCCCTCACTTTCTTTCAAGTGAAATTTCTTTGTTCGCACAGATAGGTGGGTTTGTGCATTGTCCACTCTTCAAGCCCAGTAGGCTCTCGTGTGAGGGGGCGTGTTGAGATATATAAAACCATTAATGTAGCCTCACCCAACAGCTTAAGCTTTTGGGTTGAATTGGTTCTTTACAGACACAAACAAGCATACACACACTAGGATGAAAAACAACTCATTCTGAAAAGGAGAAAACACATAATTGAAATCACTATCTAATGGATAGTTATCAAAACTCCTATCCCCCCCCCCTGTCTCCCTCCCACCCAAAATGTTTGTTATAGGTCACTTCCATTCAAACACATGTCAAACTTAATATAGCAAATAGCCCGTTTGAAAATATATAAGGGTAAAACTATGGATTTCCCTCACCTCTACCATTGCCAATCGGGGTGTAATGGAGAGTGGTTATTTTAAGAGGGCAAGCCTGGAGCAGTGGTAAATTTTCTCCCTTGTCACTAAAAAGTCAAGAGTTTGAAATTCAAATATGGGAAACAACTTCTTCCAAATATGCAAGGGTAAAGTTATGTACAAGGATTGCCCTCATCCCACTTTCGCTGGTCGGGGTTTAATAGGGAGTGATTTATTTTTTTAGTATTTCCTTCAACACAAATGAAACAAAAAAGTGCAAATTGACAAGCAATCATGCTAGTCAAAATGTTAGTATAGATAATATTTCATGATTTACCTGGAAGAAATCTCCTTTTGCCAAAAGAAAATAGTCTTTCAGGACCTTCAGGTGGCCATTCAAGTCAGCACGTACAACCACAAGCTGCAAAGATGGAGGGAATACAAATTGATGGCTCGGAACATAAATGCACCAAAAACTAATGGACATATGAACCAAAATATTTATGTTAAGCACCTGCCAGAGATGGCTAGCTGCAATAGCCTGAATAGAGTCAACAGCACATTCAAAGGATCTTTTATGAAATTCAGATGATTCCTGTGAAAAATTAACAATGAGTTTGCCTTAAGAGTAATTGGAAATGTTGGCGGGAAAGAAAATACAAAACATATATCATCAGTAAGATAGAACTATAGACGTCAAACAAATAAAAAGTCTGCCTACAATCCAACTACTTGACAAAAAAAAAAGGGGAAAATCAGCATCAATATGATACAGTGAAGTGGCAGAATATAGAAACCTTTAGGTCCAGAAGCATTGCTTCAATCTTGTCGGCCTCAGATTGTGGAAGCAAATCTTCCCCTCCTGTTCCTGTATTAATTACAGGCTCTCTCTGAAAATGAAAACGCCCTGCTAATCCATGCATTTTCTGAAAGCTTTTAGGCATTTGAGGATACACAGCATCCCCAGACTGGAAGGAAGGACTTGGATTCCGTAGAACCCGGACAGCTTTGCCAGCAAAAAGAATTGATTCTGCAACACGCATAGGAATATATTCTGGCAGCATATCCTGCAAAGCAAAATGTGAAAATAATTCAAACAGAAGGAACTTGTTTCTCTTAGATAAAGCTCATGCATAACAGAAATAACAAAAATTGTTTGTATTATAAACTCTTGGTAACCAAACAATTCAAGGTAAAGGACATGGAATTTAGTACAAACGAATGTCAAGACAATTTTCATCAGAAAGGAAATGAGCTCCATGTCATGATATGACAACAATCAGCTAATAATGAGAGCAATTACCAAAGAAATATGGAAGCCCAGGTGCCAATCAGTTAAGGATGCATCATCAGTCGACAAGCGCGCCAACTTTTCAGAGATGTCTGGATGAGATGAGCTATTCTCTACATATCTATCTTCTTGCCTGAAAAGTAAATGAATTCGGTCAAGCGTATAATTACAAAGCAATCACAAATATCAGACTTCAGAACCTAAGAAATCAGAAATCATTAATAGGGAATATCCCGGTGCATAAGGCTCCCCGATTTTGTGAGGGTAAGGGAGAGAGTCGAGTATACACAACTTTACCCTTGCATTTTTTGCAAAGAAGCTATCTCCCATAAACCTTACCGCTGCTCTAAATCAGATATCATTAATGCTACCAAATAATCACTGAGTTTTAAAGAAGTGAAGAGGAAGAACACATATCAAGATAAATTATTTTTCATGTACCAAACACATTTCATATATTTTACCCACGTAGTTATTTTTCTAGTTTTGGGGGAGAGGGTGGGAGAAATAAAAGACTACTTATATTTAACAACATAATTTCATACTTTTAGTTGCCTTCATCACCAACCTCTTTTCTTTCTGTCCTTTTGATAATAGGTTCTCTGTTAAGTGTACAATGCAATGGATAAAGTAATTAGTATTGTTTAACCTTTGGCAAATCATGGTGACAATAGCATATAACAGAAACTATTAAAATTTAATGTGTGCTGCTATGCTCAGCTTGATAACTTATAACTGTAATTGATACCAATAATTCTTTATATTCAATTTAGTAGTATAGTACTACGATTTATCAATTATGGAATTATTTTTGAAAAGGCCCTCACAGAGTTGAACTCTCATATAATAAATGGAAAAAGGATTTCTTACTACTATAATCACCGTACTTGCAAGTTGCACTACAAGTTATACACCACCATTGTATCAGTTTACCCCTATAATTGTGACATGAGATACAATATATGCATACACACAGAGACACATACATGTATATCAACAGTATGCAGACAAAAAATTAAAATTGAGTTACCTCCTAATGAAAAACTCTCCGTGCTTGTCTTGAAGAATCCCATAAACCATCCACGATGCAAGCTGGTTATACATGACCTGATGCCCATGCCAAAGAAGCCTAAGCTTTGGAAAAGAATAACCAAACAAATAATAATAATTAGCAGGGAATGTGATTGGAAGATCCGATTCCAAAGAGCCAGGCATTCTAGAGACCATAATAAACAAATTGGTCCCCAAAAGGAAATCCGTCTTGCAACTCAACCCAACCCAACATGATAGAATTCGATATTTTTTCTTCAAACCTATAATTTTTTTTACTACATTAAAGACTGTATAGTAACTAGTCTCATTAAAAAAATCATGAGTTAAAACTGTAAATGTTTATTGACTACTATACTAGCCTAATACAACAGCAAAATTTAGACAGATCATCACATAGTTGGAAATGACATAACATGCATCTTAACAATACCAAGAATATTATACGTGAAAAGAACTGCATACCTTTGAATGCAAGTCTGTAATTCAGGCACTCCACAGTGGCATCTTTTATGCAGAAGATTAAGAAGTTGACCCCCACGAATATCATCACGCTCAATCTCTAGGATGAGCTCATATAAAGGTGGCAAAAGGGAAAAAAACTGGAAAGCACGTCAAAAACAAAGTCAATATCAAAATGAACAGAAAAAGGGTGGGGACAGAAAAATTTTACCTTGTGAAGGCCTTGAGTAACTGTTGCCAAGATGGGCATGGTTTCAGACAACAACTTCTGCTCAATATGAAGAACCGAAGACCTATAAACTGAGAGTATCTCAACGATGCCATTGGCTAGGGCCCTACGATAAACACTGTGCTTCTCCCTTTTTTCCAAAGAGTTGGCATTTTCAGACCTTATCCAACTTAAATTCCTAGACTTGGCTGAAAATCGCTCCAGCTCCCTATAATAAAATCCCAACGCGATGATCCTCTCAATAAGTTCCCTGCAACCAACACAATTCATTCGAGCAATGTCATATAAGTAAGAGTTGCAATTTTCAACATGCCCATAAGAAAAAGTTGCAACTTTTAACATGCCCATAAGAATAAAAACACCCTACAAAGTAAAAGAATATTTTTTCAGATTTAGAAAAATATATAAATTAAATTGAAACTTAGGGTGAGAACCTATCGCTTGGGTCGATAAAAGATATGTCGGGAGCGAGCATGAAAGTGCATTCATCGGAGATGGGGCTTTCGGCGGAGAGTTGGTCCCTCCGGTCGATGATTAAGTCGCCGGTGTAGCCCAGTAACGCTAGCAGAAGCTCGTGCAACATTGTTGGGTTTTGAGAAGCTAACCTATCGGTTGTGGTGAAGATCCATGCATGTGTTGAAGAATTGGGAAATGGGGATTGTTGGGGAACAAATGTTACCGAGAGTGAATGATTTGAATTTTGATTAAGTCCCAAAACAGTCCAAAGTGAAAGTTGGGAAACAGCATTGTTTTTCTGCAAACCTCTCCGAGAAGTCACTGATTATTTTTATTCATTTTTTTGAAAAACAAATAAATACTGTCATTTTGATGTTAATAAATTGGAGAAGTATATACTTAGGCTTTTTCACGATTTTGCTTCTTATTAATTAATAATTAATTTGTCTCTCGTTCAAAATTATCTATTAACTTGTTCCTCTTTAATCAACTAACTTGAAGTCATAGTCAATTAAATGGTTAAAATTCAAAAAATTTGTCAATACGTAATATAGTCGATTAAAAATATCTCTTGATTGATTAAATGGTGGGATTTTTAATCGACTACGACACAATATTTAGTCGATTAAATGTCCGCCGAATAAGTCTTAATATATATTTATAAAAAATAAGATATGGCTTTGTTATAAAGTCAAGACATAGCAGCATAAGTCTCAACGAAAATGTATTCTAATAATGTACTACAAAAAGCATTATTCTAATAATTTTTTTTATAAAATAAGAAGAAGAGAAGAAACAATTTTAAAAAGAATATTATATAAAAAATACTCCGTATTAAAGTATGTTATGTAAAAAAGTTTCATATTATACAACTAATTTAATGATAATAATGGTTAAACATCATTTTCAAAAATTAAATTGGTTCAATAATAATATAAATTAAAAAAATTATTTATACAATTCAGTAAAAAAATATAGTCTAATGATATAATGCATTTTTTTTTGGTAAATGATATATTGCATTTAACATTTTCAGGTCAGATTTAAATTAATGGGAACTAGTAATTTAATTAAATTTAAATAAATTAGTATAAAAACTCATCAAGAATAAAAACCCGACCGATTCATAAACAGAAGCAATTCGGATTATAAAACGATGAAAAATAAAAGATCACAAGTAAAATTTAAAATAATAATACTCTTAATAATTTTATCTTATTAACAGAAATAATTTTATCACAAGTAATTGAGTTAACCTTCATAGTGAAATTTTTTTCTAAGTATATTAACCAATTATTCATCATACTTTTTAAACTCTTTCAACTAATGTATAATATATATACTTCGCAATAGATTATTAAATGACAAATGATTTTCACTTAATTTTTGATAAACTTTAGTCACACACCCTATTTTATATCTGTACAATAATAACTATCATCCATGTACAAAATCGCTTGATGGTATGATACAAGATGCCTTCTAAATGACAACTGTCTTAACATGCTATGGGGCTTAATCATCCGGTTAAGCAGAATGGTTCGAGCAGTTAGATTCTAATATGAATACTTAATCGAATATGACTTTGTAGTCTTGTAATTAAATTGATGACTAGACCATTTAGACCATTTAAAATTGATTAAAATCAGTATAATAATAATAATAATAATTTTTTCATGTTTCGTGAATATTTCTTATCATTGACATTATTTGATTTAACTGGTTAAACGAGAAGTCAAAGTCTCACTCGTCCATTTTCCAGTGTGTACAAGCCTTTCTCATTGAAACATCATTGTATTACATTTACGAAGTTAACTTTCAGCCGAAGATCATTCGGAACAACAGAAAGGAGTTCAAGTTCAGAAATTGCTTATGCGCATAGAAAGAGTGTCCTTTGGTCCAGTTTTCAAACTAGAAACACCGTCAACAGCAGTAAAAAAAGTGAATGTGTGTTCTTACTTCTTTACATAAAAACATCCACAATTCCACATGATCAACATGGTATATGATGCTATCTCAGTCATGAAATAATGGGTTAGTCAGATAGAATGGTAATTCTTCGTCTCTTGCTCTATGCAACATTTCTTGGAGACCGCAATTCAAAACTGATATGCTTCAAACGGTTCCTCGAAGAAGAAAGAAGAAAAAGAGTCAAAATGCAAAACTCAATGGAACTTTACATATGAAACAAAGAAAGAAGGAAAGCAAATACCTCATAAAGTGCCATACTCATTCGAGTAACTTGAGTAAGAGAGGCGAAGGCAAGGGTAAAGAACCCGTGTTGGAGAAGGGGAGCACGTGCAAAAGGGTTCAGTGACATCTAGGAGAGCCAAGAGATTTGCACGTGCCCTGCTTCTCCAACAAGGAGCTTCTCACCCAATGAAGACTATGCACACATTGAGTTTGACAAGGGCGCTAGTAGAAGTTGAATTAAACAAAGGAAAAGGCTCAGTATTTATAGGTAGCAACTTCAGAGAGAGAGAGAAGGCCAAGATATTTATCTAAGTAACGTGGCAGGAGCAATGAGTGGAAGTGAAGGTCTTAGTGTGGAGGAAAAAATGAAAAGTAACTCTGGCAAACCATGCCATTGTACACAGAAATTCAAAGAAGGGATATCGAAGGAAACCCAATTTGAGTCTTGTCTGCCTTAATTTCATAAAAAAGTCACCAACCACTTTGTTCATTTGAGGTTCTTTGCCCCTCTGAAGAGACTAGTACGTACAAGGCCCCTTTGCCCTTGCACTAATGCCAGCCTTTAGATCAAGAATGTTGGGTCCCACATGCATACGAGGCTCCCTTATACGGGGTTGCCTCTTTTGTTTGCAAAGAATTGGATGGTGCAAGCGCCAAGCAGGGAAGAAGAATAATGTATGGGTGCACATTGGCTTTGCGTGTTGGGCACAAGTTTTTGAGTGTGGCATGTGTGTGAGTTTTAGAGAAAGTTGGGAGGTTCCCTAGGTTGATATGATTCCCTATATGTAATAGGCCCCTACATTTTCTCCCCGAAGTTTAATGGCTTAATAGAGGGTAGACTAGAAGAATTTCAAAGAGTAACATTAATACCTAAACTCCGCACGTCAATGACACATAACTAAGAAATTGTTGCTTAGGTAGTGTGAACATCATAGGCATTGTGCCTAAGTAAGAAAAGTTCCACAAAACTTCCATACCTGATAAGTTGGTATTCAGCAAGCATGAGTCATAGCTGCTTCAAATCCCATGGCAAACCAAATAAACCTGTTTCAGTTAATGATACATATTTTGTTTGGGCCAACACCAATAAGCATTCAAATGTTATAATGTGTGTATAATTCAACTTTTTTTATTCCTACTCATTTGGATGAGATTAATCCTTTTAAGGGAATAGAGCGTGAAGGTTTTTGTCACTGATTCCAAGGTACTTTTCCTAGGAATCAAATCAGCAACTTTCCAATCACAACAGTCCGTTTCTTAAACACAGCCCACTTAGCAACTGTGTCACACTTGCGTTTATAATTCGCCTTTTGTGCATACTAATTGGTGATCATCCTCTGCTCAGAACAGATTTGGTCTTGTAGTATCTCTACAAACTTGATAAAGGATCTAAAGCTTGGACAAAATTATTTGAATTTCACAACATAGTAACCCCCTACAAGCCTGTTTCTGTAGTTTTTTATTTTTCTTCTTCGGGGAGGAGTAATAAAACATTACGAAGTCTAGTGAATAGCATGCGAAAACCTGTGCCGTGCAGAAATGGTTCAAATCCTAGTTCAATTTCCACATAGGTCACACGCAGCCCATCATTACTCTTTGCTGTATCGTTCACTGCCATATCAATTGCATTATGCACAAAACTTCAAAGGCAAAACGAAACAGTGCTTGTATGTCAAAGTGGATTCCTAAATTTGAAAAATGTTGAGATATATAGTCCCACATTGATTGGATAAGAAACTAATATGGCCTTTATAAGGCCTTGGGCACTCCCACCCCTTGAGCTAGCTTTTGGGAATGGTTATTTTTTAGTGTCATCTATTAAAGATGGATTGGAACAGTTATGGCTTTTTAAAAAAATGGCCATGCTCTATCTTGTGGAAGAAGAACATAGATTCTGGATGAGGTCATTATCAAATCTAAGGACTTTAATATTGGCGTGTGCACCCTTCACTTGATATGTGGTAAATGCTTTATTTGGTCAGGCACTACTACTATTCAAACGCTTTTGAAACTCAATCATGCTCCCTAGCAGCTAAAATTCTACAGCACATGATGTATGTGTTTGACTATGCTTCAGACAAAGGAACAGCAACACAACAAAAAGGCAATTCTTCTTTGCCCGTTAAATTTGTGAAATGATGAAATCTTCCATCATTTTGCTCGAATTCGAACCCATCACATGTGAATAAATATGTTCCTTGAATAAATGCCAGCATGGAGCTAATATCTTTACCCCCTCCTTCAAGTTTTTCTCTTTCGTTTACCAATATGGACCAAAACACACGGAACACACCATCCAATTGAAATAAAACCCATTAAATTTAGTTTCTTTAGAAGCAAATTGCTCCCAATGAGTCTTTTGAATGATGTTGTAAATATTAGTTATTTTATTATTATTATTTATTGTATTGGGTCAAACCCATGAGGTTAAGTATTAGGTCAAATATTAGGGTTTTCATTCTTTATAAATAGAGACCCCTTAGTACAAATTATTTACACACAATTTAATAATATATCAGAATACCCTTTTTCAAGTTGGTATCAGAGCTCTCGATTCTGAGGGCTCTGCTTCCGCAAGTACCTCATCCGCAATTACCTCAGTTAAAACAGAAATCTTCTTTCTCAGCCTCTCGCCGCCACCGGAAAATTTTCCGGTGGACCTTTTGGACCAAGAGGACCTGTTTTCAAATCCTTTTTTTTTTCTCGCAGATCTATCATTCTACGGAGATTTCTTTTTCATCAGACGACCGGAACAGCTCAAAAAAAAACGGTACTGTTTATCGCGCATTGTTCACGCGGTACTGTTCATAGGGCTCTGTTCACGCGGTACTGTTCAAAAAAAAAAAACCTTTTTTTTTGGTTTTGTCTCCTCTTTCTGGATCTGTCCTTTTCCCTCTGATCAGACGTCGTTTGGTATTTTCTCTGTATTTTTTGGCTTCTTGGTTATCCTTTGACCAATTTTTGTGCAGTATGGCCTCTTCTCAAAGGAGTTCCTTTACAAAGTTTTATGATGGTGCATCTTCTAGACCCAATAGAGATGATCGATGG